ACCCCTGGCTTAGCCCATACTATCCAGGCCTGTCTGCTCAGACGTTGAGGCAGCTCTGTGGCCAGAATATTCCAGGTTGTTCCCAAAGTATTCTGGCCTGTGAAGACCTAGCTTAGAAGTAGCTCTAGTGTACTGTGTTTTGCTATGTTGTCCTTAGTCTGCTATTAACCTGCTTGAATCTGCCTAAATATCATTGCCCTCACATACGCTTTCCATATCTTCATATCTTCAGAAGTGAAGATTAGCGGCAGGTTTTATGGATGGGTAGCATTCTTTCCAAATAATTTGCACTCTTCGTTAAGTGAAGACTTTTAATTTGCCAAGATCTTTAAAAACTTATGCCATCTACTGTTTTTATACTGACTCACTGTTCTGCTCATTTTAAGAATGATTTCTTTCTATTGGCATTGGAAAGTTCAGTATTACTACTCTGAGGGCATTCACGCCAAAGAGGGCTATTAAATTCCTGTACAAAATGTTTAATATTCAATATTCAAGTAAAGCTTGAGGAGCAGGGGTTTATAACAAAGTTGATTTTTTAACAAAGTCAACTTTGTGAAGATATTGGACTAGAAAACATATTTAGATTTCATAAACCAAAATAGAGGGATATTCTTTTTACTGTTCCATCAAAGGTTTTAGAGAGGCATAGGGCCTTTACAGACTGCCATAAATAATGCAGCTTGAGACCACTTTAACTGTCCTGGCTCAATGCTAGGGACTCATGGGAATCGTAGTTTTTTCTGAGACATTGAGCCTTCTCTGTCAAGAGCGCTCTGGTGCCACAATAAACTACAGTTCCCATGATTTCCTAGCACTGAGCCAGGGCAGTTAAAGTGGTCTCAAGCTGCATTATTTCTGGCAGTCTGTAAAGGACCATAAAAAAGAACTGTTCTGGCAACTGATGTGTTTTCAGAAACATCTGCTAATGCTTGTAGGGCAAATACTGAATTATTTGAGCAAGAGTAAGGGCGAGTGAGGTCCTTCCTGAGCCCATCTTTATACAATGTTTGCTCTGGGCAACTGCGCTGAAACAAGATCTACTCCTAAACCTAAAGTTTTGCTTAAAAGGTTCACCAGATCAGCCAAGCAACACATGCAGTCTTGTAATCAACACAAGACCTGCATAAAGAATTCAGTTTGGAAGGAATGAAACTCACAGCCTATTTCTGATCCTCATATAGCTAAAACAGGGGCTGTGTGTAGGGTGACCACAATACCAGGGAAATAAGTAGCTGATAGAGTTGGACAAAGATATTTTTCTGCATAAAGTGAAACGGAAAATGGCATTTACCTCCTTAGTCGAAGTGTATAGTACTGAATGCCAGTCAAGTTATTTTAGCACCTGGGACAGAAAGTCCCACAGATACTGCTAACTGGCACAGCATATATAGTGAAAAACTATTTGTTAACCTTTCATGGTGCCCCAAATCAGTTGTATGAGATGATCTCCATCTTGACTATCCGATGGTAAGGCTAGTAAGCATGACTCATCCAGATATACAGAAGTGCTACCCATGAACAGTTTCACTAATGCTTAATTATCAGTTTGGGCAAAAGCATTAACAAAATCTTGGGGATTTATCTTGCAATGGTTAGTATAGTACACCATTGATTACCAGGGCCTAACACAGATATTTCTTTTTTACATTAAGCAAGAAAGGCAGAGCCAGCATTGTGTAGTGGTTTGAGCACTTGACTTTGACTCTGGAGACCCAGGGTTTGAATCCCTGCTCAGCCATGAAAACCCACTGGGTGACCTTGGGCAAATCGCATTCTCTCAGCCTCAGAGGAAGGCAAAGGCAAACCCCCTCTGAACAAGAAAATCCCATGACAGGTTCACTAAGGGTCACCATGGAAACAACAAGGCACACAACAACAACAACAATAAAAACAAGGGCAGTGTAACATCTGCAGAGCAACAACCATAAATATCCCAGTTAAGTAGTGGGGGTTCTCAACCACTGAAATCAGTGATTTTCAACTATAAGCCTCAGGATCTATTATGAAGTCTGACAGACCATTAAAACTACTGCATATGTGTACTACAGGAGACAGGATATTATATCACAGCAACCCACTGCCATGTCATAATCCAACCAGTTAGGAAACCATGACCCAAAAATGCAGGCTACAAGCAAAAGCTAGAATCATAAAGCTGGAACAAGTAAAGCTTAAGAAGCAGCAAGAATTTGGAAAGCCAGATGAAGAGCCACAGGGAGGAAACAAATGCAGCAGCAACATCTAGAGCCCATCTATTTACATGTCATGTTTGAGGCTGATTAATGGACCAGCAGTTTGTGTTCACCCAGTTTTAAAAGACCCAGCTCAATAGTAAGTGTGTCAAAGCACTCATTTCGAATCAACAATATTTGTTTTATATAATTCAAGAGACAGACTTTGGCTGCTGAAGCATTTATTACTAAAGCATACATGTGAAATTACAAGGCAAGGCACTACAGAAAGACAGGCTAAACACCCATGTACAAACAGCATGAATTTTGTGTTCAGTGCACAATAGTCAATAGTAGTTTAAATGGAGTTATTGAGTCATACAAAATCTTAGAAACTGGAAAAAATAATGTAAACTGTCACAGTATATGAGTAACTTTGGCAGATATTAGCCATAAGCCCCATTCAAGAAGAGTGGCAGTGTTCATCAAAGCTTTTTGGTACTAAAACAAAGTGGGTAAAGGCACACAGTAACTGTAGAGTATATCTGCAATGGCACTCCATGCAGTTTTCAAATCAGTATGAATATGAAATTCTAATTATGGTGACAGAAATGTGAGATTTTCTCTTCAAGTGTTTTTGACCATACATCAAAATAGCAGGAAATTTAAGAGCCACTTCACAGGTGAGATGTGGCTTTGTAACTAGATAGCTAAACAAGGCTTCTTCAACAATGTACTCTGCTGAGGTTTAGAATTCTTAAGGCACTTTGCATCTTTCACTACTTCTAGCCAAAGCACTAAAAGCTAAACTCAGACATATGTGAATCTCTTTTCTCATAAGACAGTTCTCCTTGTCAGAGAAAGCCCCAGCAGACATATGGCAGAAAGCAAACGTCTGCTGCCATATAAATTCCCCCCAACAGGTTACATTGCAGCTCCAACAGCTAAGCCACCTTGTTAGTTAAGGCTACAAAGTCTACATTTGCCATGCATGAAACTTATTCTGTTTTGTGTTCAGGCTGTTTGTCCTTCCGGCTGGTTTTTTTCTCCCCTTCACCTTTGCGCTCAGCATTCTGAGAGCCAGCCAACTGCAGGTAAAAGGGACCTACCAGCCAGTTGAGGGGCGTGTTGTTTACAAGATAATCCATCACATCATCCAATGACTCCTTCATTTTCTTCAGCTGCCCTTTACTGGTGGTAATGAGATTGTCAGACACTTCTCGGAAGGAAGATGCTGACCGGAAGCTTTGGTAGACTTCCCCTGCCATTTCCCCAACATGCTGAACTTGGTCCTGGATATTTTGTGGCAAGCCTTGTATACTTGACACCAGGGTGAGGCAGGTGGTTTGAAGCTGCTGAGTCAAATTCCGTGCAATCGTCAGCGTGCGTGATTCAATGTACTGGAAAGAAAGAACAGATCCTGGAAATAAGTTTCTCATTTGCTAATTATAGTTTCTGAGCTTCCACAGCAAGTGCAATGGGGGACTAATCAGATAATCTTTGCAACACTTCCATTTTGCTATTCTCACCTGATATTAACTAGAACTTCAAACTGAAATATTTAGAATAAGGAATCTGCTGTATACTCTGGTTGAATTCCCACTATTTCATGTTTTCAACATTATGAGTTGGAGCCAGACTTGCCTCTTCCATTCTTGAATGGGACCAAGATTCAGTGATGGCTTTCTACTGGACAAAGGGACAGGGCATCAATCTTCTTCAATTTCCCTTTGCCCTCTGTTTTATGGCACCATCTTTGAAGGTCCCCTTCGAAACAAAATGGGAGTGGACTGCTAAAAGGACTGATAAATGGGTCCTGAAGCCAATTTGTAAGACCTGAGTAGGGCTGTTCCCTCAAATGCCAGAGGAATGCTGCTGAGCACAAACTTGGATCCAATTCAACGACTAGTATTTCTTCAAATATCAGAAGGTCCTTCCCAAGGGATTCCAATTTTGAGTGGGGAAAAAACAGCCTAATCAAAGTACTGTTTGAATCAAATCTAATTAAATCACAAATGAAATACTTCCTTTTCTTCCTTCCATACAGCTCTGCCAAGTGGTTCTTCAATTGCCTCAGATTGCCAACAAGCTTGACCCTACTTGTGTGCACCCCCCTATATTTAAAGCACATATTTGAAGCCTGCTTATTAGTCACAAATGGTCCAATGTTACTTAACTGCTCTTGAAGTTTGGCAGAAGTGGGAATTTGGTAGGAGTGGGAAAGTGAACTCAAGGACCCGCCTTTCCAGTTCACATGTTCTGGCTTTATACAAGTTTGCTAGACTTTCAGAAGACTGAACAAGGCCAGCAGTTAATGCCCAGTAGTAGCAAGAGCTAAGTTTAAGCTGATGGTTCAATCTTAGACAGCAGTTCTTATCGCTGCTGTAATTATGTGGGTCAAGAGGTTAATACTCTTAACCTTGATAGAGAACTTTCAGGATACTCCGCTGTAAAGTGTTGCAGTGACCAGCAAGAAAAAGTGTTTTAGGTGTTACCTTTTAACAGCTTGGAGACCTCAAGTCAAAATCAAACCATTGAATATTTTAAATCAAATCCCTGCAAGAAGGAAACTGCTGCTGCAAGCAAGCCAAGTGATGGTTTTTCTTTCTTCCTTCCATATTTTGGCCTCCTTACAGCAGGGCATATTGAGTTTACCAATGTGTACCATGAAAGCATCCAAAAAACAAGTTTTAACATGCACATGGATGTCTGTTTCTCTTTGAATAATCTATTATTTAAAGCACATATATGAAGCCTGCTTATTAGTCAGACACAAACGGTCCATGTTACTTAACTACTCTTGCTTCAACCAAACAAAACAACAGCAAGAAGGGAACACAACTGAAACCACAATGCAAAATGTATATGGAGTCAATGGAAGATACATATAGAGTCAATCCTTGTATGCATGTTTCTTTATCTATGACATGCACATCCAGGCACCTACCTCAGCACTTTTCATGTCATCCTCATCATTTTGGCTTATATTTTTCCTCCATTCTACCCAGGAATTGTACAACTTCTGTTGGGCATCTTGGAGTTTCTGGTTGGCACTATTCATATTCTTTCTGGCAAATTCAATCTAGAATATACAAAACCTATATGTTCACATTTGCATTCAATATTTTAAACACCGCATATAACTTTGATATATTTTTAACCACTAAAACCCTGGAGAACTTCCAGGCAAGAAAGAAAGAAACCACTGTGATTGATGGGCACAAATATGATATCTGTCCATGGCACACTAAAAAAAAATTAATTTGGTCCCCCACAGATAGCTTAAGAAGTACTGATCTACAGCACTTTTGAAAATCAGCTGTACAACTCCAGCTTGTGCTTCTGCTTAAACCTGGGGGTAGGGCTGATGTTATAAACATCAAGTTTTTCCCTTGCCCTGAAATTTGGCTGGGGGGGGGGAGAGGAGGGAAGCTTCCATTTGCATGAATGAACGCTTGTCTTCTGTGCCTAATTGTGGGAGAGGGAGTCAGATAGCACAACAGGAAGTGGAAGGTTAGTCTTTCCCTCCCCATATGGAATCTCTCTCAATAAAATTCCTTCTCAGGCAGTTAGCCTCAGAAAACAAGCTTCCACTAGTGCCAACCAAAGCTTTTTAAATTGCCATGGCATAAGTCTGGAGGGAGAAAGAATGAATGAAAAGAAACATTGGTAGAATGGGGGGGGGGGGGAAACTGGGATTTTTCTCTCTACAGCTGGGTCTCCCACTACTCAATTTCACAGCTTCCCCATTCCCATAGGAATGTGGCTCTAGATACAAAGTCCTTCACCTCTATTTTCAATCAGGTTAATCTAGAATAGGGATGTAATGCTTCACTGAGTTTCTTCTCAAAGGAAGCAACAAGTAATTTCACCAATTTTCTTCCCACTGTGAGAAAATTCTGTAAAAATTAGACCATTTCAAAGGCTATTTGCAATTCAAGACTTTTTCTGTAAAAAAAAATCGCACATGGTTGTTTTGTTCAGAAAATAGCATTTACTGCATGGAAAATAGTATTTCAATGCAGAAATATTAATCACCTATATGCAATTTTACATATGTGTGTGTGTGTGTGTGTGTGTATTACAGCATGAAGGTTTGGTTTACACCAGAAGCCTGCAGCCTGATTTACTGGAAAATTACTTGATGCTCTACATCGCTATTGTGTATTATTAACTGCCAGAGGGAGCATAAGCACCACCAGCTGCTGACACTGTACACAGTTTAAACAGAGAAGCAGTGTAAGGAAAGTTATAGAGAGGAAAGTTATAGAGGAGCCAATGGCCTCTTTGAGGAAGAAGCTGAAAATATAACTATGGGAGGATGCAGATGGGCAGCCCTGGGCCGCCTTGGGAAGTGGAGGATTGGGCCGAGGCCGAGGCTGTCCCACACTTCAGCCCCAATCCACCCTTTTGCTGGCCCTGAAAGGAGTTAAGACGCTGCGCCGTGATGACATCCTGACGGCGTGCGCCATGCGTAATGGCGCACGCCATGATGACGTCTTCAGTGTGGGGTTGGGGTGCCCAGCGTGTGGCTGCCCCTCCCCTTCCCTGCCT